CTGTTTTTGATCCTTTTCTTCTTATGGTTTTCTTTTATGAATATCATTGAAAAAGTTTTAATTAAGCCAAGATTATTGTTGTTTCGGATACTGCTCGAAGACCAATCAGTTTTTGGAGTCGGCCGAAATCGCTTCATTCTGTCTGCTAATAATCTGATCTGAAAAATATTTTGGTTTCATTAGCAGATGAATTTTTTGTTCGCAGAACATTAGCGTATTAATGCACATGTATGCAAAGGAAGTTCGAGACGTTTCTATTGGTTAATGTAAGTGAACGATAACTCAGAGATGATATGTTAGAACGCCTTCTTTAGGCTAACGTAGACAAAGAGAACGGATTAGATGTGGATCGAATTAGCGGAATCAGTGGAAACGGTCTGTTTACGGTTGATCGCTTTGATGGTTACGGTGGCGGTTGGGGTTATTCAGTACACTCATTTGAAGCCATTCAGTTCCTTGCTTCTAAAGAGATTAAACTTCTGGGTGTCGGTCTTTTTGGAGGGCGCGGAGAATATTTAGCAATGTAAGTAACAAGTCTTCTGCTTTTCATCAAAGGAGTTATCAAAAATAAACCTAAGATATTATCAACGTTCATAATCGTTCCGTGGCAGTCATTTTAATTATTTTTTCTTTGCTATGTTAGGCTGAAACTGTTCCGGTTGAAGGGAGACGATTCTAATGATCAGAATCTGCAACTTGTAGCCGAGTCAGATGAAATGCTCTATCAATGTGGACCTCACGAAAAAGCTCAATTAATGTTTTCTAAAGAAGCAGTTATTGAAGCTGATGTATGGTACGTAGTGTGCGCCAAAATCCGGTAAATATTTTTCTATTTAAGTTTAACTTTTACCACTTATTGTATCTTTGTCTGATGGGTGCAGTGAAGATATTGATTAAAGGTTTTTTTTATGATGTTTGCAATTGTAGTCCATTTCAGTGGACCGAGCTCTGACTGCGGTGCTGGCGGTCGATCTGTTGCTACCGGTGAAGACGGAGTTCAGTTTCATTTTCGTTCTTCTCGTCTTTCAAACAACGGGACCGATGTTTCTGTTGGTCAGATTCCAGAATTGCTCTATTTAACAAAATCAGATGAGAAGTCAACGACAAGTTCTATATTTCAAGAATCTCTTGAAAAAACTGAGGAGTAAGTTTTGAATGTCGAATTAGACTGCCCCACATGAATGTGTTGCGTTTATAAAACTTTGTAAACTCATGTGAAATTGACGTCTGGTCTTTACTTTTTCAGTGGGACGAGTCTTGAACTGAACAACGTGAGGCTTCAGTCGCTTCTATTTGTTACTCCATTGGCTATGCAGGCCTTATTGGATATTCTTACGTGGTCGGTGAGCAAGGCATTAGAGTTCGACAAAGATGAATCTGACCACCTTAAAGCATATTTTACTGAGCGAGCTGTAATCACTGGAATCATTGCATTACGGATGTTTTGGTGAGTTTTTTCACATTTTTCGCCGGCATTTTCAACTGGTGTGGGTTTACAGCAGTTACGTCGTTCGCTTGTCTTCGCAGCCAAATAAGGGCTCTAGTCCACTGTTACCGCAGGAGTATGTGAGTCTGGTGTTCCATTTTGGAGATATCTTGAGTTCGTTGTTCCAGCAAGCGAACGAGAAAGACCTTAGTCAGGTGATTTAATTTGCAGTTTGTTAATATTAGTGTCACAGAAATATCAGTATGCAGACATCTCACCTTCTTCTGCTTTCCTCTTTCACTTCAGAAGTTTTTTTTCAAGGTGACTGCTGTTTTTTTTAATTATTTTTTACCGGAAAGCTTTTGATCCAAGAAACGAAAGTAACAGTGTAGTTGTGCTGCTTACGTTAGTTCACTCTTACGATGAAGTTTAAGGATTTTCTAAGTTGGGCATTAATGGAAGAAGCAGTAAAGAGTTACGTTTCTTGTTCTTCTATTTTACTACCCGACTCTTCGGTCATCGTAGAACGGCTTGCATACCTCATGTCTACTCCTAATCGAGATTGGTCTCTTGTGGCACTTTTTGACTCTTTGTGCCGTCGAAATGAAGTAAGCTTTGTTATCGCAGTAGTTCTGCTGGACGTACTACTGCAATTAAGTTTTTTTAATTTTGGCTTACCTTCACTACATACCCAGTAAGGAGTCATAGTCGCATTATATTTCCTACTTCTTTTTGTTTTTAGACTCTCCCTTTCTTGCTTCTGCTAAATCAGAATAGAGTTTCATCCTTTGCACAGCAAGGAATACCACGAAAGGCCACTGTGAAAGAGTCGAGTAAAAATAACGGTGCTCGACAGTATATCACCAGTTTTCAAAATGTTTTGCGCTTTTTATTTGAGCTGGCATTTACTCTTCACGTCTTTGATTCGGTTAGTTTTTCAGCCTTTTAAATCAAAGTGACTTTTCAATTCATTCCACTAATTTATCAGATTTTCAAAGAAGTTGATTGTGATTCAAGAGACAACTTAGACTGAAGTCAATTGTTACAAATTGTAAAACTTCTCTCTTTACCAATATCTACCCTGAATAGTCAGGTGATTTATGACAACAAACCATTTTCTCGTAAACTTTAGCAAGTAGTTTAACCAAGTGATTGTTAAATTAGGGAAATATTTCTCATGAGGTAGCTTTACAGTAAGTTTACAAAGTTCTTTACCTAGAAATAACCATTTTTTTGTTTAGAAGTAGGAGAGCTGGTAAGGATTCAGAAATCAAATTATTAAGCTTTGTGGTCGTAAGCGTAGATTTGTCTCGTTTTAATAGCTATACTTAACGGGACCTATATTTGTAGCGAATGGATCACTTAACGCTTATGATTAATGATCCGTATACTGTTCAGATGGGTAGCAGTTGGCTCGTTTTAGTTTGACTAAACCGCTTTAATAGAGCTTTATACAGTTATAAACTGGCTTTCTGCACATTGAATAAGGTCTTCTAATCTTGTTGAAAACCACTTTTAGAAATTACTGTTGCTTTCAGCGGCACAGCGGGGCCCGATTGAAGTATGCAGCACAGTCATTGATACTATCAGTTGCTCGTGAGCTAGTAACTCCAAGTAATATTGGTGAAGACGGGCAAACAATTTTTCAGACACCTTACAGGTACTGTTTATTCTGCTTTTTCGGTCAGTGTTGATCTTTTTTTTAAAATAGGCTTAAATTCAAGAACAGCTGAGCTGTTAATAGGGTTTATTGTTGTCATCTACTTTAAATTAATTTTGTGGTTCAAAAAGCACCTTTTATATGTTTCATGAAAGTACTTTTTTTTTATTTGACACAGTTTTTAATTCTAGGTTTCGCAGCCAGAGTTTACAACCGAATTGGGATATGTCGAGCGGTGTTTCAGATGCTATTGCGTTCCGTATAGATGGCTGTGGTTTTTTGTTACACGGGATTGGTGTTTATAGAACCTCAAAAAATCGGCGTCATTGCTATAAATGCGAGGTCGGTCACTGAGATATACTTCATCGAAGGAGAAATGTTTAAGTGCAATAAGTATATGCGCTAAAAATTGATAATTCTTTTAAGAAACCAAAAGAAATCAAGTTTTAGGTATAAAAAAGATCATTTAACAGAATTAATTTTTACATTTCACGACAAAAAAATTTTAGCTGTTACGTGACCGCAATTGTGGAAAGAACGAACACTGGGATTTGGTGACAAAAACCAGTGGTGTTTTTGGAGAGGATGATGAAGATGGTTTCTCTGATAATGCAACAGTGATTCGATTTACAAGGCCTGTTCGTATAAAACCAAATACGTTGTACGCTATAAAGTTTTCTCTGGATGGTGGAAAAACCTATTGCGGAGAAGGTTTAAACTATTTTTTGTTGTTTTTTTGCCCATTTTTGTTCGTTTTTGATTTAACTTTCTTTTATTTTAGCCGGTCTGGAAACAGTTCGTCTTTCTGATGGTTCAAAGCTTCATTTCCAGACATGTAGTCTCAGTCACAATGGAACTTCAGTTAACCGTGGGCAAATACCATTTTTATTATATTTATATGAAAAAAATAACAACAGTTTACGGAATAACGTTGATCAAGTTCAGGTAAAATAAACAATTTTTTGTATTACTCATTATTTACCTGTTTTACGGAAACTTAAGTTGATGGTATTTTAGCTGAATAAGTGGTTCTTGCTTCTTGTTCGACTTCTTTCCTCAAAAATTTCTAATTTTGTCGCCGCAGGAACATTAAGCTCTCTTGATGCCTCGTTTTTTTCTACGATCTGTGGTTAGTTTGAGTTTATTTAGAGAATTACCTGTAAACCATGAAAGAAAATATTTTTTTATCTGAGATTATTGTTTTTCTTTTTACATTTTTCGCATGCAATTACTTTCAAGAACTGAAACGACCAGTTTCTTAATCAAGAGAACTCAGCAGCTGGTAATTCAGGTTATATAATGCTTTTCTTGGAATTGAATCCTCATTTCGCTTTGGACATTTTTGCCATATTGGATGATCTGTTACCAATGGTTTCTTCTTCTAATAGTGAAAAAACTTTGGTGCAGCGTGCAATGTTAGTTTTCGTTTTTTGGCTATATTTATTAGTTGCTATATCCATAATGTTTGATGGTGGAAGAGAGAGTAAGGTGAATGTACTTTTAATGCTCATTTGAAGACAAGACGATTTAAATGCTTAATTTTTCCAGTTGAAATGTTGTAAGTTTATAGGTTTTCGAAAGCTGAGACAGAGAACTTTCGAATTCTTGTGGAATCTCCACATCCTTATTCACCATCGACGGTATATTCTAAGGTTCGAAGATCTCATTGATTTGAGAAAAAAGATTTATTTTTTTGCTCAAGGACTCTTTTGGTAAAAATGCTAAATATTGGAAGTATTCTAAGTGTCATTAGGTCGCATCGTTCAACTCCACTGTGCGCTTCATGTCAATTCAGTTCGACGAAGCTTGCTGCACTTTCCAGAGTGAAGACATTCTTTGGGTTTATGTCCGGGTGAATCATGATTGTTTCGTTCCCATAAACAAGTATTTCTTTTTCATTTAATTTTTTAGGGGTTATTGGTAAGGTTTTGCATAAAGGAAGCGCAACCTGGATTATATCTACCACTAAATTGTTTGTCTCAATTAAGGTTTTATGGAAGCCATGAATGGCCGAAACAGATAATCTACGTTCCTGGAAACCACTTATGGTTTGTTTTGGAAACTGCAAATGGAAGTGAAGATGCCGATTGTAAGGAGGTGCCTAAACTTTTGATTCAGAAATTTAAAGTTTATTTTTGATAATACTGACACTATACTGAAGTTTTTAGCTTATTTATTACTTGTTTCTGTAACAGTTTGTAGAAATTGACAACTACATGCCAATTAGACCCACATTCCTTTTGAATATTAGTCTTCAACACTATTCTTTTACAGACTTTCGGTTTTCGTTGCACTGTTACCGGTTATTCAAGCTTAGATCTGAGCACAGATTTAGTCATTGAGCAAGAACTGGCGTGGATAAGTGCTAGTGCTTGCAGGTTCTTGGTTCAAGTATGTTTCAATGAATGTTTATTACTTATACTTCTTGACCTTCATTAGTTGAGGAAAGTACGATTTTTAGCAGTATCTGATTTCCTTGATTACAGAAGACCAGTTTCGCTCTGAAAAGTACACGTAATAGATGGAATGCTAAGAATAAATTCTATTTTAGATTCCATCTGAGCAAAAGCTTCTAGCCGCTCTTACGGTAGCAGAAGAAGAAATAAACCAAATTGTTAAGAGATATGGACCCTTATTACGAAAGGGACTTAGTCTTTCCCATGCACCTAGCGTTGGTGAAATACTAAGTCGCAATCTTCCAACTCCTGCTTTTGGACCAGGTTTGATTATGTCATAATATTAAAAGATAACATTTTACTGAGGTAGTCGGTTGTAAGAACTTTTTATCTATTGATAATATTTCTTTACTCATTTTATATTTGTAAGTTGAACACGTTTTTAAATTGACTGGGTGTTACTGACGTGACAATTCAATTATTTTGTGAAGGTTAATTTTGTTTTTTCGGTCTGTATACTTGCAGTTAGATTCACTTTACTAGAGTTTTAAAACGTTGCTTCTTAATTTTGATACCACATGTGAAGTTCCAGTCATTCTGCAATATTTAGAGAAGTTTTCAGAGATGAAATTCATAAAGCAGTTTATTGCCTGTAGTTCCAATACTGCTGCTGGCTTTCTAGCAAAATGGTTGATGGTTGAACCCACGGTCGACATTCATTCAAGTAGGCTTCGTATGCCATGCGATGAATTGAAAATTGGTTTACCAATTAAGGTTGCATCTCTTTCTTCTTAGACTGCAATGAAATTCTACCTCTGGTCTTGTGTTTTAAAATTTATATCTCTTTATAATTAGATTATTTTGATCCCTCGCGACCAATATGGAGGTAGTGCGTACTGCCCTTGTATGGAAGTCGAATTTACCATCAGAAACGATAACTCATTTGGCAATCTGCAGGAAAAAAACAGTTCTTACCGGCATGCATTAAAAAGTGCATCATCGTCGAATTCGTCGTCGGAACTTTCAATTCCAGATGTAAAATTCTTTTTGTTGGTTATTTCAGAACTTCTTTATATTTTAGTTAGCTACGGAACAATTACTGGCACTTTATTTTTATTTCTTAAAAGGAGTTTTGACTCGACTATTTTTTAGGAACCCTACAGGCCAGTTTACATGAATAAAGCAAGATATATGGCGATAACGATGATGAATGCTTATGCTGGTTATTCCTTTGAAGAACTGCGGTTAGCATATTTGAAAAATCGCGTACTGAAAGAGAAGTTGAAGGGTGTGAAACAGGATGATGGCAGGTATTGATATTGTTTTTTTTCTTTATTTCTTCTACTTGATAGCGCGCAACTGCTTCGTTATATTACAGCTTCGATTGCGAGTGGACTCCAAAACAGGCTGGTACGTATCGCATTGAGTGCAAAATTGACGGTTTTCAGCTAACTCAAAGTTATGTTGTTGAGGTATAATTTATATTTTGTGACAACTTTAGAAAGTTTTTATTTCCCAACAAACCTATTTTTTAGGTTATTGGCCAGAATAATAAGTCAACAGGTGCTGAATGCAGTAAGGTGAAGAAAAACAGGAAGAACCGGGTGGCATATGTGAGCAAGTGAGTTTTCTGATTGAGTAATTAAACTGTTCCTCACAGTTTTTTTTGAACAATGTTTTTTCTGTATATACTCGTTTAAATGACCAAAGATTCAAACGTGATATTTAGGGCGAGATATGCTCTTTGTCCGCGGAATCTGATGACAAAAGGTATACGTATTCGCACAAGTCCAGTACTGGGAGCGCCGCAAATTGGAGTTGTTCCTAGAGGTTCTCTGATATCTTACTTAGAGGAAGTGGAAAATGCTGATGGGATATGGTTCAAACTAACTGACGAGACAGCAGCGATTCACTGTACTTCGCATGATTCGCAGGTAAAGGTCTTTGCTTCTTTTTGACATTTATTAACTGGCCTTTTGAATTATTTATTTTTTGTACGTTACTTGACACATTTGGACTGGAAAAAAGTGTAATTTTTTGACCAAGGTTGCTCTTATTTGTTCTTTGTAACTGGATTTTGTACCCTTTAGGCTTGGTGTCTTCATTATTGTAATCACCTGGGAAGGCAGTTTTTCTGCTTGGTACAGGAATTTACGGATAGGATACCAAATGAAATAAATGCTGGGTCTGACTCTATCGCCTTACTTCCTCAAAACATAGTAGCGAAAAGAAGCATAGCTGAAATTAGCGAACAATCAATTTTAATGGACACGGACGAGGTTTTTTTTAATACTTTTTCGCCTTTTAACTTAAAATGTTGAAGTAGTGTGAGAGGGTATGTCTCACATTGCTAGAAACTTGCTAAGCTTTAAATTGTCAATGCAGTTTAAATTGAAGAAGCGGCCCTAGCAGTAATTTTAGGTCTACATTATCGACAGCGACCAAGCTGTTCCCCTTTACGACAACCCTTCTCTCAATGAGATATGTACCGAAGTAATCGATGGTTCTGCAGGACGAGAATTCAGCGTCGACGGGTGGCTTTGCAATGCTGATGGGATATGGGTTCGAATTCCAGGAGGACATTACAAATACGCACTCGTTCAAGTAATTTTCATGCCTTCAAGGACCGCTTTTTTAAGCTAACTTCTAATTCGTTAACCAAATTCTCGACATGAAGTTTACTTTTTGGAATCTTTCAAAAGTACTTCCTAGTATGCTCGTGAATAAGTTCATTTAGGATGCTTGCGGACGCTGTTATTTTCGGAAAAAGGCGTCGGAATACGGAGCATTTGAAAAGAATAATGTCAAAACCCTCTCATTTCAGCAGTCTGCAAACAAACTTTCAGTGCGGCGTTCTAGGTAGAATTTTTCATTGCTTCTTATATTGCCATTCCTACAGTTATGTGTATGCATAATTACAGCTAACTGAAGCAGTAGCATATCCCTTAAAAATTTAGAATTTACGTATTAATTCACATCTCTTTTTAGGATAGGAACTCGGTATACCGCTGTAAGACCGTCAGTTGCGGACTGTTGTCGTACAGTTTTCGCTGCCTTTTTGTGGCACGAAAAGTTAGTTCGAGATGCTATGGCGTGCAGTGCCTATCTAAAATTTCATCCCGAATTGTACATGGTAAGGTTATAGGGATTTGAATAATTAAGAAATGTTTGGGACATGAAATGATTTTTTTCTTCTAATGTCTCTTCTGTTACAATGAAGTTTATTAATTTGTCTTTATTGATAGGTTTTCAAAATGTACTTTTTAGACAGCTAGAAGTGATGATCGCTTGGAAGTGATTGCATCTTCACCTCTTTATCCTCTTTCCCACTTTTGGCATGGGATTTATAAGGCTGTTCAAGCAGCGATTCAACGAGACTGTATTATACAAGCAGTACCGTCTTTACGGAATAATGAGGTTGTAAGGGTAATTTTGTTTGCAGTTCAATCAAAGATCTGTAAAATAATTTTTCAAAGGTTTTACAGTTTTTCTTGCAAATTTTAGAATAAATTCTTTAGCGAAAAGGGAGACCCTTACCGACTCAGCCCGTTTGCGAATTATGTGAAGAAAGTCAAGCAGTACCTATCACATCTCATATGCGCATGGCACATCCTGGTTGTGAGAATGATTGTGGCGGTTACGGTTATAACAGCTCTGGGAAGTACATAAATGGTTGGGCTGGCAAATGCGGAGACGGTGGTCGACAAAATGCTTCTTGGTTTTACTTTCATTCTTCCGCAACACTTACCAGTTTTTCGGCTTGAATTTTTTTCGTTTTTGAACAGGTTACTTGTGTAACATAGCTTAAACTCTTAGAGTAAGTTGCTTAACTTCGAGTAATATCTGTTGCAGGTACCTTTTATGCATACCCTGTCGCTCCAAGTATATTACTCAAACGCCTAGCGGAAGAAGAGAAGTACCGTATTGTTTATTTCAGTGATATACACATTAACTAATTGCATCCTTTTCCAGTCATACTTTATCGATACATTTTGCTGGGCTTAGATGAGTCGTTTTTGACTTTGGAAGAAAAATGAAATTTGCTGAATGAGCGAAAAGTTTATGAGTCTTGTTTAAATGGGTTCTGCTACAGGAGAGCATTCGACGGAAAAGAGAGTACCATATTTCAACAATTGAGGATGGCCTTTTGCCTGAGAAAATTATTAAACAAAATGCTATGTTCCTTTTGGAGCTTAATCCATCAGCTGACGAATGCGATGAAACTTTTTCCAACATATCGTCAGGGTGGACGATAAACTTGTATCCTCAAACCGATTCCCCAACATCAAATTTTCATTCGGCCTACACTCAGGCTGGGAACGGTCACTTAAATACTCAGGTTTCTGATTCGTCCTATAATACTTTGGTAGTTCATACGAAAAAATGGTGCAGAAACTTATCACTCAACAGTGATATTCATAACGCCAAAATCCAAAAGGTTTTCGTAATTTTTCTGTCGTTGTTCTTTTTAACTATTGCTTTTCTTTATTTGCAAGCAAACTCAACAAAATTTTTTCTCGCCTTTATCCCTGGATTTCAGCGTCCATTTTCACATGTGAGTGATCCTGGACCCAAGCCGCCGAGCGTTAACCAGTCTTTTATTGTTAATGGGAGTACTTCGAACATTTTGGTAAGCTTAAGTTATTCATTACACCTTACACAGTATATTTTTCAATAGTTTAAGTTACATTGAATTTTTGAAATAAAGTTCGCAAGTCATAGTTTCAGAATGATGGCACAAGCGTCAAAAATCGTAATCATGCAACAGTTCTGAACGATGCAGCTACAGTGGTAGTACAGCGTTCAAGGAATCAAACTCGGAGAGTTCCTCTTGAGGTATGAACAATTTTCAGAGACTTCTCTGCCATTTTTTCTAATTTAATTTGTTATATTACAGGTATTTCATAGTCCATCGGTAACGTTAAAAAAAGTGTTTTATGAGACTCAACGTGCTACCGTCAAAGGCAATAAATCTGAAATTGGTAATCAAGCATTACTTCTTTTTTTCTCGCCTTGCTTAATATAAATTTTTTCGCCGTAATATTTTGTTTATTCAACATAAAAAACTTGTGTCGAAATATCCAATCCTGAAAAAGTCTTGCATAAATTTTCTTATGGGATTTTAGAAATGTCAACCAGTTAGCTTTTTGATTTATACGTTCAAAAACACGAAACTGACATTTTTTGAGTGAGTTTCTAGATGCAAGAGTTCCGGAAGTATGAAGCATTTCTTCTTTTGCCGACTTTTTTCTTTAACATTTATTTGGTTGAAATTTTATTTTTTGTAGAAATAATTGTGTTATTAAATTGCCTTATGGGATTTGTTTGCAAAAAGTTTATGCTGAATTCGTTAACTGTAAGATGAATGAGTAAAGAGGACTTCAAAATTCAATACGATATACAAAATTTGGTGTATCCTATAAACAGTTCTTTCAAAAAACTTTTTTAAGCTCCTTTTGCTTCGCAGCTTCCTGTACTTGCCTTTGTCGTGGAAAGGCATGATTTGAAGAAAATAAAGGAGTCTATGGCAACAGCTGTTGCTCGTGCTACATTCTTCTCGCATTCACTGAGAGTGTGGAATTGGTTGCTTAAATCAGTTTCTTCGGAGTCGAGGTATTTGTCATAGCATTTCATCTTGTTCTTGCTTTTTACACTGATAGAATTTACCAGCGGGGTTCGTTTCAGTGTTTCAGATATTCTCATCCAATATTTGACTGCTCTGAACTCATACACTCCTCTCAGCAAGTGCAGGCCTGAAGACTTTTGGCGTGGTGGGACTCGTATATTACCACATCCCTGGAGTATGTGTTTTCTTGCTGGTCCAGTTGCCAAGAAGGTTGTTGAAGAGCTGCACTCTTTTTTGCACACTGTATTTTTGCTATCACATTCCAATAATACAAATCGCGTTCTTCGATGCTTGTGTTTTCGTGTTTGGACTTTTCAGCTCACCACTCATGAAAAGGTTATTCTTTTATAATTTGGCTAGTAATTTCCTCTCCAACGATCTACAAACACAAAAAGTATTTACAAGAAACTTGAAACAAAAGAGTTTGTATAAGGAAGCTAAAGATATTTTTAAAATTTTGATTTTAAAGGGTATTGCTGTTGATCTTCTATGTAAATTGGCATTGGACTTGGTGCTTCTCTTTCGTAATTGAGTGATGAGCACCTTTATTTTTAGCCCAGTAAATTTTATTTTGACTGGCTAAACTTCTACTTGAAAGTTTTTTTATTTCAGAGGCTTCTGCATTTAATTTTTTACAGAATCTTCTTCCGCTTGTTTGCAACATGCTCGCTACTGTAACTAGTGTGCTTTCCGACCCATCCGCTGACCAGTCGTATAGCTTTGAAAACACCGATCTGTACAAGAGGATGGATGCGCGTGAAAGAGCTCTGAGAGGTGGTGTATAGAATGATATGAGGAGCTCAATAGGCAAATAATTACAAACGTAAACATTAAAGTTATCGTACTTTTGGTTTTTAGAGAAACCGAAAATAAGGGAGCTTGAAGACATCACTGTGCTTTTGAAGATAGAAGCTTCAAGCAGACAAGCAATGGTGGGCTGTTTAACTGATGGAAAGCAGGATACTTTTTGGGAAAGTGCTGAAGAAGTATTTTTGTTTGTTTTTTTCGTTTTTTCTTATTAAGCTATATTATATTACTAACTAATTCTTTACAAATTGGATTTATGTTAGTGCTACTGGTAAAAGTTATTTTTGTTGTTGGAATTATCGTGCTTAGCACTCCTTACTAAGGTTTTGATTTCATAAAATGACATAGATTTACACATGTTTGTCATAAAATTTAATTACTGCTGAGTTGTTTTTTGTTTCTGCTTTTTTAAGCTTTTCGATAAGAACTAAACTCCGTTATTTCTAGGGGAAAACGAGTAGTTTTTTGAAAATACGTTGGAACAAACGGTTGATTGCTGTTGCATTCTTGGCAGTATACGTTGACAACGTTAAAGATGAAGGATTCGCTTTGTCTTCGCTCACTGTTTCAAGAGTAGACGAGAATGACGATACGGAACAGATATACGTAGAACGAGTGGATAACGTAAGCTTTGTTTGTTTCCAGCAAATTTTTTCTGGATCAAGAAATTTTTTAAATTTTATATTGAAACCGTAGTTATAATATTTTGTTCATTTCAAGTTTTATGTCGGATGGGTGAAATGCTGCATTGCAAATACCGACAGTTTGCAAATAACATTTGAGAGCTCGGCGCAGTCAGTTAGAATCAGACAGGTCAGGAAAATGCACTTACCAGCAGCTACTTGCAATTTAAATCTGAATATTTATATGTTATGCTAATGCTAATATCTTGAACTTAACATTGTGAAAATTGCAGATTAAAGTGCTTGGATTCCATTCCGACTTAGGACTTCTGGATGACCCATCTTATGTCAAAGGAAATCCTATTAAACCTTCTCCATCTCATCAACTGTTGTTTAGTTCTGACCAAGCAGATGCTTTTGCCCTTTTTCAAGCAATATCGGCTCAGGTTCAATATCGAGAAAGAATTTTCCTAGAAAAACTTGTAAAACGTCCGCAACATTTATATATTTCTTCAGGCATTCAGTGATGAACTTTCGCAAGAAGAAAATGGTGCGCTACGGCAGCAAGTACTGGAACTTTTATTGAGCCGTGATCAGCTACCTCCTTTACAGAGCTTTGTCTGTTCTCAAATGGCAGTTGCTTTGGAAAGGTTCTATCTTAACTTTTTCCAAGATTATGCACTTTTCTCTAATGGGTAGCAGTCGCTGATGTAAACTTTGATTTTCAAAATGTGTTTAAGAGCTCTAAAAATCAAAGATTTGTAGAGAAGTAGTTAACCTCCAACAAAGAAGGAAGACTAACTATTCGTATGCTTGCGGTTTGATGCTTATGTTGGTAAGAATTTGTTCGTCACGGCAAGGCGTTGAACTTTTTGGTGCTCATAGTAACCTGCTAATTGCACTAAGCGAACTACTTATCTTTGCTCCTTCGGTATTTTTTCCTACTGTTTTCTTTTTAAATTCAGTTCATTTAATAATTTAGTGTTTTTTCTAATTTTTGCATTTTTTGCTTTTTTTAAAATGACCATTTTTTTGTCAGATAAGTATTTTAAGTCTACTGACTGATTTTTTAGGTTGTTCAATGTCAGGTTATTGAAACAATAGAGCGTTCCATATCCCTTTTCACTCCAGTGACAGTTGACCTCTCAAAGTTTGTTAGAAATTTGCTCATTGTAATTGCGAAAGTAATATCCCTGCAACTGCGAGATAGAAAAACGCACTCTCTCAAAAGCGCAACTGTTATGGTACAATATTTTAAAAATAATGAGTACTAACTCTTTGTTATTACTAGCTATTTTTAACTTGATGAACTATGGTGATTACTACAAGAAATTAGAAACTTTAGACGCAAAACATCGAGTCTGAAGCGAGTTGGAGAATGGATCGCTCATCATCTGTAGAAATAGCAAAGCTAGTTTCAAAGTTTCTGCGAGACGTGAGGTAAGGCGTTCTATTTGGTAAAGTTAACGAAAAGTGTTATTTAATGAAGGCATTGTAATGTTTTCGTTATAGTCATAATAATTTTTTAAACTTTTCCGTTTCTAGAAGACCTTAACTTGTTTAGTGACGGATGTGTAAATGACCGATGGAAAGAAGCAATTAAAACCGAAGTCGCCGAAAGAATCATGGAACTGTCAAAATTAGATTTTAATAAATGTCTGAACATGGATAAGAACAAGTTATCTTCTCGTGGCAGGCAAATTTCTTTGATGAAAAGTACCTCTGTTTTACCTGCATTTTTTAAGTCTGATAAGTTCTGGCTTTCAACGGCTGCTTTAACAGTAATCACAAGTGCTGATTGGTTGGAATTATCACCAACATGGCAGAAGCAGAAGGTTTTAACTTTAATTTATTTTTTTTGGAAAGTGTATTAGTACTTCAACTTTGCTCTTCAGGTTTTTAATAGTACTACTTTTCTTCAGACTACTTTTTTTATTTCCAGATTTATGTTTCTTTCACGTACTGCAAACATGAAACTTTCTGAAAAACCTCTTGTTTTTTTTTAGGCCGAAAAAGACAGAGAAGCTGAATATCTTTGCGAAAATCATGATGACGGTCAGACTGTGGCGGAAGTAATGTGCACTGTTTGTGAATGTACACTGTGTAAAGAATGCTTTACAATACTGCATCTGAACAAGCGGAATCGGTAGGTATTTAAAGTACTGTTTTTTTATTTGTAGTAGATGTTTTTCGTACTTTTTTGGTGTGCAGTTTATCTCAAAAATGTTTTAGATAAAAAGTAAATAGTTATCGGTAAATCTAGTGTTAATGATGTCGGGAACCGCTGAAGTGATTATTGAATATATTGATTTCTTTTTAGCACTCACGAATTACGCTTCTTACACAAGCCATCAGCTACTCCACAGTTAAATGTACATGAAGGCTGTACTCGATTTCGTTTACCGAATCTTCTGGTACTAATTTATTACAGCTGTGTTAAAACAGCTTGCTTTTTCTTCCTGGGGGGTTCCGCTCAAGTTGAATGCTTCATTAATGTTTCATCTATCTCTCATATAACATAAAGTTGAAAAATCTTTTTTTAACGCTGACCACAGCAACGGAAACAAGAAAGCCTGTGTCAGAAGTAGTTAAGTCTCCAAGGTGAATAACGCCAAATACCTCAGTACTCGATTTCTTCTTGCATTGCTGACCAGCAACAGTAGAAAATGTATTAAAATGTAGTGGATTTTGCAACTTGGAGCAGTGAAACGAAAAAAATTTCTGGCTACTTTAAATATGCTAGAATGAGATGCCGAACTGCAGCTATTGAGAATATATTAACTACTTCCAGCAAGAAGAAGTTGGATTACGGAGGTCATAAAAATCTATCAGAGAGAGACGCCCAATTTTGATGTCAACATTATTTAGCCTAGTGGCTCTTGATTTTTCCTTGTTCAATGACCATTTGTTTTATAAGTTCTATTTTGCAAGTTCTTTTAGATTTTGTTCCACACTTCTGCTCTCAACGGGATGATTGAGTTTGATAATTCTTGTACAGATGGAGCTTATCAGACTGTTTCGACACTGAGACTATCAAGCAAGTTTTTTATTCGAACAGACTTATTCATAGGATTGTGACGCATTGAACTTGTATTTTTATTGGTGAGTGGCAAGCCTGCCACAAATGATGCAGTTGAATCGCTCGTTATTACTTGTTAAAATGGTAGTTTTTAACTCGGTAATTTTTTCATAAAACGTTGCTTCAAGTTTAGGTAGAAACTCTTGGACTTTACACTCGGCCGAAAAGGCAAAAGTTTTTGGATCCTGCAGGTTTTGTGGAAACCAGCTAAACAGTGAAGCCCAAGTAAGTTCTTTTCAAAGGAACATAACTCTGACTTTTTTTTATCTCAATTGCCCATCTGAAGCAGGTTTTAATGAATTTAAAGATGGAAATTAAGGACTCTTGCTTGAAGAAAGCAGAGATTTCTGTGCTTTGTTCTATCTGTGTACAGGATTTTTCAGCAAAAACTGATGCTTTTTTCTCCAAAGGAGATTAAAGACTTATTACATTACTCTAAAGGTTATTTTAAGAATTTGATATAGAGAATGGAAATGAAATAAGTGATGCTTTCTGATTTGTTCCGATAAAAAATGGTATAAAATTTAAGAGGGGGGTTTAAAAACATTAAGTTATACTTTTGTTGCTGTGTTATTAATTGAATGTTTTTAGGTTGGTAATTTTTAAAAATTCTCTTCCAGTCTAAATTAAATCTTTATCAGTTTTATAGGTTGAGGAGGGAGTTTGCGATCATGCAGATTGTTTAGTGTCAAAGTCTCTTGCATGTAACAAGAAATTTATTTGTGGTCATTATTGTGGAGGTATTGCCAATGAAGAAGAGTGCATTCCATGCATGATTTGTAAGGACTCAAGTAAGTCAAAACTAGTTTGTTGGATTTTTAAAGGCTGTTTATTGTTTTTGTGTTTTATTTTTAGAGTTTATATTTGCAATTTGAATTTTAGGTTCTCGGCAGGATGCGGATGATTTATGCGTTATTTGCTTTACCGATCGGCTTGGAGGAGCTCCATGTATTCAGCTGGAGTGCAAGCACATATTTCACTTCCAGTGCGTAAAGAATGTGTTAGAAAGACGTTGGAGTGGGCCGAGGATATATTTTAGGTTTATGCAGTGTCCCTTATGCAAACGACAGGTAGGTTTCAACTTCACATCAATTAGCTTGATCTTTTAAAATTTTGATGAGTATCGTTGCTGTTTTTTGATACATTCAGTAACCGCTCTAATTTTTTGCACGCCAAGATTGATTGCTTTTTTATATAATAATTTTGGACGTATGATTAGAATTTATTTCTGTAGATTGAACATTCTGCGCTCAATGAACTTCTAAACCCACTAAAAGCTCTTCATGGGGAAGTTGTTAAGAAAGCTCTTTTACGTTTGGAATACGATGGGCTGCTCAACGCGCCAGCTGTAACTTCCAAAGAGAGGTAAAGATTGCAAATCTAGCTGACTTCGTTTATATATAAGTTTCTCCATGGCTGAATAGTATTCTTTTGAAGTGAGCACTTCTGCTGTCAAGTAGCAATTTATTCTTCGCTGTTGATGGTTATTCTGCACTGCAATTTATAATTGAAACTTTTATGAACTTGGCAAAGTAAAAACTGTTAAACGCGTCTTGCATTTTAGCACTTTTTACCAGAATGCTGAGGCTTATGCGATGGAACGTTATGTTTACGTCTTATGCTTTAAATGCGGTAAGGCATACTTCGGAGGCGAAAGTCGTTGTCAACAGGTAGTTTTCATGACTGATTCCAGACTTATATCCTCCATATTCTAGTGTTTTCATCTATGCCTAGTTTAGGCTTTCGATTATTCGCAGTTCAATGAGACAGAGTTGTTGTGTGGTGCTTGTTCTGATGTAAATCGTGCTCAAGTGTGCGGCAGACACGGAGTAGAATATTTAGAATACAAATGCAGATTTTGTTGTTCAGTAGCTGTTTATTTTTGGTAAAACTTCTAACTTTTTTTTGTTTTGCTATCGTAATAACAGTCGCTTATTTTTCTAAAATTAAGTGTTTTATGAGCAGACGTTCGTTATTTTTCTAGTTTATCGGAAATTTGATAATCATTTCTGAATTTTGAATAAATATTTATTTTCTCGGAAGTTTGAATTTTTTAGCTTTGGAACTACTCATTTTTGTGCTGTATGTCACGACGACTTCCAGAGACTTATGCGATTGCCTAAAAATTTACTGCCCAAGTGCCCAGCCGGACCGAAAGGTTTGCAACTAGAAGGGTCATGTCCTTTGCGCATATCGCATCCTCCTACGGGTGAAGAATTTGCTTTGGGATGCGGTATTTGTCGTAATCTCAGCACATTTTGATATATATTAGTTCAGTTCTTTCTAATTTTTGATGAAACCAGGTATTCACTTCAAGTTCACTTCAGAGTGTACAAAGCTTTGGATAGGATACCAGCGGTATTTTCTGTAAATAGGAACTAAGTCTCTATTGCACCTGTTATAATGTAATGAATGAACGCTGTTATATAGAGAAATGCTTTTAAATTTTTTTTTGTATAGTTGCATAATTTTTTGAATGTTTACATAAGAGTAAATACGGTATTATTGTTTTGACTCACAAATTGTTTTTCAGTTTTAGTTTCGTCAATTTTGTGAGTTTTTGAGGCAACTTTCCTTCAGCCGTATTAGTCTTGACGAATACCTCAATTTAAAATTGAATTTCAACGGTTGTAATTTGAAAAAAGCTGGTAGAGCCGTCTTTCTATTCTTATGGCTCAATAAAATCATGTTCTGTCTTTCATCTTTTGTACTGGGGAATTTCTTTTTTCTTTTTACTCTTAAATTTTTTTGAATTACTTGATCTCAGTTAGAGTTTCGAGCTTGGACTTCTATGTTTTGCCAGTACGCTTCTATGTTTGTTTATAATGCGTTGCTAAAGTGACTTTTTAGTTCGTCTTAATCAGCCAAAGCTATTTATTAAGCTAATTATAGCGAAAATGGTGTATGATCTCTAGTTTCTTTGCGTTATTTCTCCACTTTTTGTTTCCTCTTTTTGCACATTTTGTTCCTCGAGTTTTACTGAAATTTTCAATCCATCGTTTTTTCACTTCCATTTCCGGCTTAAAAAAGTAGTCGTTGGATGGGAAAAGATGATAGATTTTTGTTTTAAAATGAAAAATTTGTCAAGCAGTTCAGATGAAAAGAGGAAAAAAAGAGTTGCGTTTGTTACTTAAAGTCCTTTATTGGTTTTACCTATTGTTGATAAAAGTTGAAAAGTTTATTGATTTTTATTGTATGTTTGGCAGAGCATCTGTTCAGATGCTAGTTTAGGAAGAATTATTTAAATATCGGATATTCTTCTAAATTTGGACGCCTGCAGGTTGTAAGGCCGGATTTTTGTGTGGACACATTATGTTTGAGATGGATGGGTTGGTTTGTTTTTTGGCCAATGATCCGTAAAAGGTGGTGGTACGCGTGGAGAGGCCGATCATTTTGTGTGGTTCAACTGGAAATTAGGCGAAAATATTGTTTAAAAATGCTTGTCCGGTGGAGTATAGTCGTATGCATGTGACGTTTATCATTTTTTTT